ACAGCTTGTACATTTTCAGTTCATGCGAGGATGATACCATCAAGTGGGGTGTTATGCATTAAGAGGTTCAATGGTGTGCACACTTGTGGGGCTGCTGTACGTACTTATAGGAACCCTCGTACGGGGTCTGATTTGGTGTCGACTATTGTTGCGGATCGGGTGCGTGAGCAGCTATTGACGCGCCTTACTGATGTGGTGTTTGATTTGAAATTTCTGTTTTAAATAGTGAAGTTTGTCCTTTTTTTTTTTTTTTTTTTTTTTTCTTTCTTTAGAATTTTATAGCGAACATGTAACAAGTAGATCTAAAAATACTAATTATATCAAAAAGTTCAAATAAAGTCCATATATACATCAAATGTTATGAGATATTAAAGTTGAAAACTAAAAATTGACACTTTTGTGAAGGAATTATAAACTCAGTGTGCATTGCACACTATTAGGGATGACACACACCTCCACCGCATATCATATCGGGGGCATGACACGTTGGGAGGTGGAAGGAGTAGAGTAGAGAATTTGTTTATTTTATAATTTTAAGAATGAGAATACTAATAAAATTTATTCATAATATGATATATTATGAATAATAATTTATAAATTATAAGAATTTTAAAAGGTAAGATAAGGATAAATAAATAAAAATAAATGTTAAATATAATATTTTAATATTTCGACACGAAAATTTTATGACCAAAGCCTTGGAGTGATGTGTGCCAAGATGGGGGCTAAATGTGAACTCTCTTTTTATGATTCAAACGGTGTAGTGTGTAAAGAAGATGATTCACAAAGAAAAAAAAATCAAATTAATTAATCACATTACATTTAACTTAAAACAATATATAATTTATTTTTAAAACAACATATTTTCTTTCGTTCTTTAAATTAGTTAGTCAATGACACTATTTGGTTTATCACTCCTTTTAACTTTCATCCTACTTTTTTCTCACCACTATCCCGCCCTTTTATATTCACTTTTTCAGTGGATAGGTATGGCATGCGACAATGCTACGTAACTCAAATTTTGTGACTCAAAAGTGGCTTAAATGGCCAAAATGACATCGTTTTGAGTACAGAACAACATAAAAATGGCCAAAACGACGTCGTTTTGGCCATTTGAGCCACTTTTGAGCCACAAAATTTGAGCTACGAGACATTTTCCGTATGGCATGGGTCCAGCTTTTTTCTTACGTGTGAAGTTTATTTCGATGAAGTTTCAAGTAGGTTTGGTCTCGTTTGAGAATAGATTAATTTAATATTTTTTTGACTATTTAGTTAAAATATAAGTTAAAAAAAATTAGTATGTTTAGAATGATTTTTTAGCTTTTTACGAAAAGATGTGTAAAAAGTAGAGAGAAAAGAGAATCTTTGACTTTTTGGTATGAGTTGTTGGCTTTTTGGCTAGTAACTTTTTGACTTTTTGGCCAAACGATGCCTAAATAAGTCAAAAAGCCAACAACTCATAGCAAAAAGTCAAAGATTCTTTTTTCTCTCTATTTTTTGCATATCTTTTCGTAAAAAGCTAAAAAGTCATCCCAAACGTACTAGTTTTTTTAGCTCATATTTTAATCAAATAGCCAAAAAGTTACTATTAACATGTTCCCAAACGAGGCCTTAGTAACTTTTTGACTTTTTTGTTAAAAATGAGAGTTTCCAAACGAGGCCTTAGTTTGGCATGAGGGTTTGAGTTGGGTTGAGATTATTTTAGTTATAAAAAAATAAAATAATTTTTTTAATTTAATAAGATACAATGTTACATACAAATCATAATTATTTTATTTTTTCTCTTGTAAAAGTTAAAAAAGTCAAAAAATTCAGACAAAATGAGACTTTTTAATCTCAAATTAAAATAGTCAAAAAATTAAAAGATCAAAAGACAAACTCACATCCTAAATGAAGACTATCTAGACCGACTTAAAATAGTCTCTCGTGAATCACAAAACAAGAGGAAATTTGTTTTTTTTTTAAAAAAATTTTTGGAGTTGGATTTTTCTCAGGATTAAAGGGAGTCGTTCAGGTCCGCAAGATTTAATAAATATACAAAAATACGAAAATGTACTGAATTTTCATTTTTTAAATTTTTTTTTGGTATTTAGTGAATTTGTTAAAGGTTTTTTTCATAAATATTATACTCTTTAAGTGTAGGAAAAATTGGTTTAAGGTCCCTCTTCCACTTTTCGTAATGGAAGAGATCCACAAAATTATTTTTTGATGTCTAAGGTCCCTAAACATATATCAGAGAAATTTGACTGGGTTTGATCCTCTTCCTCAAAACCTCATTGCCCGATTCTTCTCTCTCTAGCAGAACCTCCCAATCTCTTTCTCTTCCTTTTTTTTTTTTTCTCTGCACTTTCTAGATCTCTCAACCTGATTTCATGGATCTATAAACCCACCCACCTGCATTGTTGTCTTTCATCTAGGTTTACGAGCCACATGCTTCGTTCGCCATTCTCGCTCTTTCGAAGCCATGCAATTGCTTGCTTCGAGCAAAGAAGCTGATTATCAACTCCGCCGCTGTTGCCAGTAGGAGCTACACCGGAACCCTAGAATCGGGCAATGAGGTTGGGAATGCTCTTCTTCTCAAACTTGATGAACTCCTGGAATCTTACTCGATCAAGAAGAATGTTACTGAAGCCACTAAAATGTCGAGCAATTGTGTTCTAGTGTTGGATCTATGCGTGAAGTGTAACAATCACATTTAGAAATTTTGAATCTCCAGAATTCCGAAGTCCAGAGAAATTTTCAGAATTTCTCTGGACCAATTTTCTCTGGATTTAATTTCTTAGATATAGCAAGAGATGATGTTAAATTTGTGGATCTTACTTGTCCATCATCAGTACAATTGGTGCCTTCTGCCAAGAAGCATTCACAGACATCTTTCATCAGCTTCACCACAGAGAAACCAAGTTCACTAATTCTATATGTTTTAATATATTTCTCCTCCACCAATTTCAAAATTGCATCTAAACTTGGAATATGAAAACCAGATTGCTGAGAAGAGTTACAGATCAGGGAAATTTGCATATCATAAACTAAACAAATAAATAACAAAAGGAAAAAATAAAATGAATAATTTGATTTTTTTAAACGTATACACACAAACTGGTTCTTATATACACATCAAACCCAGAGAAAATTCAAATTTCTCTGGGTTCAACCCAGAGAAAATTCAGTCCAACAATCCAGAGAAAATTCAGACCAACCAAACCAGAGAATTTTGTAACTTGTTGCTGAGAGCAGGCTATCAATGTTTGAGGACATAGGAAACCTTAGCAGGGATTTGATAATGGAAAGTATGTATATAATATTGTACTGTTGCCTTTCTTCCTCACCTTTGAGAAGCAAGAAAGTGAGTTGAGGTAGGGGAATTCTTATGTTCAAAAAAAAAAAAAAGGGCAGAGAAATTTACAGTGGGAAGTTTAGGGAAGTCCAGAGAAATTAGAATTTCTCTGGACTAATTTTCTCTGGATTAATGTTGAGGGACCTTAGACATTATGAAAATATTTAATGTCCTTTCTACTATAAAATCATAATATCAGGGACCTTAAAAAAAATACCCCATAAGTGTATTTATGTTAGTTGTATCTAAAAATTAAAAAAATTGTTTAAAATTAACATGGATGGGCCCACAAGGCATACGGCCCACAACAAACCACCCCAAACCCATCGCTTGGGACCAATAGCATAACCCGGTTGACAAAGCCCAGGACAGCTGGAGGCCATCTGGACATGGAGGACCAATGGCATTCGGGCACATGGCAGGTGGAACACAGTCCACATCAGCAGACAAAGATCTGCAGAGTTATTACCACAACACATCACCATTAATGCAGCCCGTCACAGCATTTATTATGACAACACCTCCCCGTCGGAACAGAGCCCCCTCACCCTGAACAAGGTAAGCTACGGCACAGGCTTTCGGCGGAAGGGGGCACGTCACAAGGGGCAGTGAAATGATTACCAAAGGATATAAGCAAGAATAGAGGACAAGAGGAAGGTTAGGCTTTTATCTCTCTCTCTCTCTCTCTACATTCCTTTTTTCTACTATTGATTCTCTCGCCGGAGGGTTCACTGGGGGACTGCCCCGTTCCCCCTTTGGACTTGCTTGCAGGTCATTTGGCGAAATCGTCACCCTGAACCGGAACTTGAAGAGCTTGGACCAGTCCGACCCATCGCCCTGGGACGAAGTGTATCATCAAAAATATTAAAAAATTCAGTGAAAACAAAAAATACGAAAAACAAAAAAATAAAAAATAAAATTTGTTGAAAAGTAAATTCTAAAAATTGAAACCAAACAGAGTGATTGCTTTAAAGACTTACATGAATCCCATTAGAAGAAGAGAGAATAGAAATTAAAAGTATTCTGTCTCAACTTTTCAATATTTAGTTCTTTTAATTTATTTAAGTTATTTTAATTTCGTAAATTATATATCGACACAAATTATGAAAACTTAACATAAAAAAGTAAAAAATTATAAATGACACTCATAAATTACACCAAACGAAACCAAGGAACCGCTTAAGCCAAACCCTCATGGAACATTCACATTCCAAACAAAGACTTAAGCATCTTGCTGTGGCTTCCACCAAAAACGACAAAGGTTACGCGCAAACGAAGACTTTAGGAATCGAAGGGTGTCTCGAAGGTGTGTTACCTCTGAACTTATAATAAGTCTCATTATAATATTTATTTTTTGATATATAATTTATAATTTACCTATTAAAAAAAACTTTAAGGCTATCAATATTATCACAACAGAACAGTGGTTACTTCCTAGAAAGAGTGCTGAAGGTGCCATCAAAGTTTCAAATAGAAAAAAAACAGGTTTCACAGCTACCATAAATTTACTCCTGTATTGCCACACATATCACTCAAACCTCAGTTGAATTTTTTAGCATTACAAATTCCTGGTTTTGAAACTCAATTCAGATCACCATTTCCTCCTAGTTATCCCCACAAACACAAAGCCTACTACTGCTAACAAACACACACAAAACAGAAAATGGCTGAAACTGCAGTGTTCCATCTTCTAGCCAATCTTGCACCCTTCCTTCAGGGAGAGGTGAATTTGTTGAGTGGAGTTCGGGAAGCAATGGAAGACATCAGAGATGAATTCGAGCGCATGTCGGCTTTCCTCATAGTTGCTGATGCTACGGAAGAAAGGGACCCCGAACTGAAAGTTTGGGTCAAACAAGTCCGAGATGCTGCTTATGACACTGAGTACGTTCTTGACAAATTCAAGCTTCACCTTGCACAACATCACGGCGATGGATTCGGTGGTTTCCTTCGTAAGTCTTTTTACTTTCCCAAGACTTTAAAAGCTCGCCACCAAATTGCTTCTGAAATACAAAGATATAGCGAGCGTTCTTCTCGACTTCGTTCTCTGTTTGTGTGGGGGCCGATGGATTCATTGCCTAATGCATCCTTGCGTGAGTTGTTTAGACATGGTTCGAGGCTGCTAAATGTGTTAGATTTGTCAGGTATTCCATTAGATACTATACCGAATGAAGTTTTTAAACTGATCCATCTCAGGTACCTTGGCTTGACGAATACAAAAGTGAAGATGGTCCCAAAGTTGATTGGGAAGCTTGAGAACTTGGAGACCTTAGATCTAGGAAGAACCTATGTGACTGAGTTGCCTGATGAAATCCTACACCTTCAGAAATTGCGCAATCTCATATCATTTCATCGTATACCAACAACCGCTAATTTGAAACTTCGAGATCTTTGTGGCTTCAAATCTCCATCTCAGATAGGAAGGTTGCAATATCTACAAGTGCTGACGTTGATAGAGGCAGACCAAAACAGTGAAGGTGGGATTAGTATAGCGAAAGAGCTGGGGAGGCTAACCCAACTAAGGGAGTTATCCATTGGGAATTTAAGAAGAGAAGATGGGGTGATTTTGTGCTCTTCCATTGAGAAGCTCAGCAATCTTCGCAAATTATGTGTAATGTCAACAAAAGAGGATGAGATCCTTGATCTGCAATCTCTGTCTCCAGTTCCTCGATTTCTTCAAGAGTTATACTTGGATGGACGTTTGGAGAAGTTTCCGCGCTGGATACCTTCTCTCCGTGGCCTTTTCGTTTTAACTTTAGGGTGGAGCAAGTTAAGGGATGATCCTTTGCAATCCCTTCAAGAATTACCCAATTTGGCTAAGCTTGTATTTGAACAGACATGCGAAGGTGAGGTATTGTGTTTCAAGGCAGGAGGGTTTCAGAGGCTTAAACGTTTACGCCTTTCTAACTTAAAAGGATTGAGATGGGTGAGAGTGGAGGAGGGAGCAATGCCCCACCTTGAAGCTCTAATTATCCGTGGGAGTGAATTGATGGAGGAGGTCCCCTCAGGCATCCAACATCTAACCCACGTCCAAACGTTTGAGCTTGGTGATATGTCTGAGAAATTGATTTCTAAGTTAAATCGAGAAGTACAAGATGAGAATTATAGAAAAATAGCGCACATTCCTGAAGTTATATATTGGTACTGGGAACATGGTCAATGGAAAGTAAAGTTTCTATGAAGAGAGAGGAAGGGGAGGAGAAGAGCTCTCTCTAGATTGGATCAGTATTATAGTAAATAACCTTTTTTTTCTCCCTTTTCTTCATTTTTTTACATATTCTAAAGATGATTTATTTTCTTCTCGATGTAGATGATAATTGGTCACATTAATTGATTGCACTTTATTTTTACTTAGCTTCCATTTGATTTTAAGAATTTTTTTTAAGGTAGACATTCAAAAATTTAAATTTTATAAATCTATTAATTTAGACTTTTCAAATCACACACAAAAAAAAAAAAATAAAAAAATTTAACTAACTGATATAATTGTTTCAAAAATTAAAATGTGGATACAGAAATTTTAATATAAATATATTTTGTATTTATCACTAGTATGATAATTGTAGAGTCTATTTTTTTTTTTTTTTTTTGTAAAGTCTATTTTTTTTTAATAGTTAATTTGTGCAGTAAGTTATAAAATAAAATTTTGATTGCTCAATGCATTGGGAACAAAGATAGGCATAAGATTTGAGATAAGAAATAAAATACATATAATGAAAAAAAGGATTAATTACAGTTTTCACCTCTCTATAGTTTAATCCAAATTTTACTTTAGTCTTTATAATTTTAATTTGAATAATTTAGTTTCTATACTTTAAGTCTAGTTTCAATTTGGTTCTTCTATCTATATTTTTGTTAATTGCGTCTATGTGTATACTTTAAAAAATTGACAAGTGTATAAAAATTGTTACTTTTAACATTCAATTTAGACAAAAAATCCAAATTGAAACCTTAGAAAATTAACAAGTGTCTAAAATTTTTAATTTATTTTGTCTACGTGTATACCTTAACAAATTAATAAGTGTCTCAAAATTGTTATTTTAAACTCCAATTTAGACGGAAGAACCAAAGCAAATCCTTAAAAAATTGACAAATGTTCCAAAATTATTAATTTCAACCTCCAATTTCGATGAAAGAATCAAATTTAAACTAAACTTAAAGTGTATAGACCAAATTGTGCAAATTAAAATTATAGGTATTAAAGTAAAATTTAAGTCAAATTACAAAGGTGAAAAGTGTAATTAACCCTATATTTTATATTGAATTATTGTCCAAAAATTTATATATACTAGGGAGAATAAACAAAAATATGTATATATAAACTTAAACTATACATATATATTAGGATAAATTACACTTTGCCCTTTTATGTTTAATCATTTTCTTACTTTAGCCCTTGAAGTTTGATTTTTCCCACATTGGCCCTTCATATTTCAAATTTTTCTCAATTTACTCCTAAAACTAATTTCTGTTCAAAACTAGATAGAAAATGTTATGTTAACTGCCACATAATATAAAAAAAAAAAATATTATTATATGAATATTTGAATATTGCTGCTATTAGCACCTACCTAATTTCTTTAGACCCCCTAATTCCTACTTTTTTTTATTTATTACAATTATACCCTGAAGTAAAATTACATTAAATGGCAACTTTTAATGAAATACCTACCCACCAAATGAAAACAATTAGAATGACACTCTACAATATTGTACACCCATCTCCATCCTCATCTATACATATTCCTTACCAACCTAAACCCTAACCGTATTCTTCTTCATTACCATCCTAAACCCATGTATTCATTTTCAATGAAAAACATTTGAAACCACCAAATTAATTAATGTTTTGTTCGGTAGTTTCAAATGTGTTCGGTGTTTTAAATCAGTCAACATTGCAAATAATCCTATTATAGACTCTAAGTTTCTACATTTGTGATCGTTTTCACCATTCGTTGATACTTACAAAGCAATGGAGGATGATGACAATAACTCTGATGAGATTGGCGTTGCATTGGTAAGTTTATCTATCTCGCATTTATGATTCTGGGTCATTTTTGGTTCAGTACTAGTTTGCCAACTGTTAAGGTTCTGTTAGTAATACAGTGCTGAATAAAAACATTTAGTTCAATAATACAGTACTGAACATAAACATTCTTGTGGGCATTGAAATGCCGAACGGTTCCACTTTGTATGATTTTTCTCCTATTTCTATTTTTTCTGAGGATTTTTCCCTCTAAAACCCCTTGTATCGAGGGTTTTACCCTGAAAAAAAAAATGTGATGAAGAGTTGGTGGTTAGCTGAGAGAAGAAGAAAGAGACCATCAAAGAGATTTCCGACTGAGATATCGTCGTTCATGGTGACAAGGAAAAAGAGACCATTGTTTATGAGAGATGGAGAAAAGAGGGACAATCGATTTGTCTTTCAATCGTTTATTGTTCTCAATCATTCATAGCTGAGAGAAGAAGAAGAGATGGTATGCAAAATTAGGTGGGTGTGCACTTGGGTGTGATGATATTATGAATATGGGTAAAATTAGTATTAAGTGGAGTGTTCAAAGAAATCTTTAAAATTTAGGATTTAGGATAGGATTCAAAAAAATGAAAGGTCCAAAGAAATTAGATAGGTATTAATAACAACCCTCTATTTGAATTTGTGTTAGAGCTAAATTATCTATAATAAAATCTATATAATAAAGTAAGATGGTTTTTGAATTTGTCCTACACACATTTGTCCTACTAGGACATTTGGACGGCTGAGATCTATTCAAATTATAAAACAACGGCTGAGATATATTTTCAAAAAAATATCCTATATGTACATTTCCTATTTTCCCGCTTCTCTCTCTTACTTTTTCCTTTTCTCACCTATCCTTCTATAATCCTATGATCTCACCTTCCTCTCTCTTTTTATTTTTTTTATTTTCTCCTATTTTTATTTTTCTCTCAATTTGTTTATTTTTTTTTTCATTTTCTCCTGTTTGTTCACTTATTTTTTTTCATATTATATGGAAAAGTCTACGATCCCAGAATTAGGAGCCAGATTTTACGGTGTGTAGTAGAGATTAAATTAATGAATTTTATAGTTCACAAATTAAATGAATTTGAACAATTAATTATTATAGTTAAATATATTGAATGGCTGATAGATTTCGTAAATTTAGATCTCATGCGACGCCCCACATTTTTTTTTGAAACGTCATAAGATTTAAATAATGATAACTTGCTAGATAAAGTTTTAACTACTAATTAGGAACTTTTAAGTTCTTACATAGTCAAAGTCCAACGACAAAATAAAACTACAAGTTCACACATAACGTCACAACATAGTTAAATCCTAATACAAGGGATAACAGGATTTTATTTTGATAAAATCTTGACTCTAAGTCAGCCAAGGTTCGATATTGGCAGCAGCTCCAATTTCAGCCTCAGTCCTTTCTTCGACATAATCTGGCATGAAACGACAGGGCAACAAAATATATGCCATGAGTTTTGCAACACAGTAAGAAAACGTAACCAACCTACCATTCTTTTTAAGAGAAAAATAATAATATTCTAAACATGAGATAACAATATAATTATACACAGAATTTAAAACCATTAGAATAATTTTAGTAATTTTTATAAATTAGGTGACACTCGAAATCTCACCAAAGAGATTTAACTTATCAACCACTGAGCATGGCAACGGTTAATTTGAAACCCTCCATTGGTCAAATATTTAAGTGTTACCAACCGTAACTACCAGGGATGCCCATGAGTATTTGTTTTATTTATTTTTTATTTTTTATTTTTATTTTTTATTTTTTTTTGTAAGCTGTTATTTTATTTTCTTTTGGAAAATGAAGTTATTCAGAATATTATAAAACGGTGTGACGGTATGAAATGGATCGTTATGGCCGTTACGGTACCACGACGGCTGTTACGTGACGCCAAAACGACAGTTACACATGTGAATTTCGTCACACCACTATAGCGGCGGTAGCCACCACAACCGTTACGTAATGGCGTTTCGTAATTGTTGCGGTTGCTTTTTAAAACTTTGCCTATATAAGCCAAGCCACGCATGTAAAATCAATCATACCAGGACTTGCCCAAAAATCAACGGAGTATAAATAAAAATCCAAACTTGGTTATTTAACATAGTCACAAATTCATTTTTACACTTAGAATATTTTCTAACACTTTGCCATTTTCTCAAAATGCTCTCCGTAGACAATTTTACCAATTTGCCCCTAGGGCAATAATAATACATATATTCTTAGGCCATATTTGTTTGCTGGATATAAAATGTGGGATATAATATCCTGTGGGATTTAGTTTGGATATATAATGAATATGATATATGTATTGGATATCATATCCCACAATTCATGTTTGTTGGCATGATATATAACACTGGATATATCTGATCCATTTTTGCTTTACAAAATGGATTGTGGGATATAAGCAAGTAATTTCCAAGATTGCCCTCATAACATATGTTATTACCCATCTTGCCCTCATGCCTATCATGGTTCACTATTCCAATTCTATAAAAAATATATATAGACAAATTAAATATTCATATTAAATTCAATAATTTTCCCCAAAAAAAAAAAATATATATATATATATTATATTAATATGAAACTAGACTTCTCAAATTTAATCTTTTAGTTAGAAATTACCAGATTTGGCTTAGTATAAAATTTTAAATAAATTTTCAAATGCATGGTAAAATCAGTCACACAGTTTCAGATTTAGTTAAAAATTTGTATAAATTCGTAGAAAGCTCAAAAAGTATTTCCAAATATTTCTGGACAAACTAGACATCATTATCAACAACTTTGTAGAAGAAATCATCTCGAAATTTTGAGTATAAAATGATCTAAAAATTCGGATAAACATGCTGGCAGATTCAAAACAATTTATTCTCAACACAATTTCAGATTTAGTTAAAAATTTGTATAAATTCGTAGAAAGCTCAAAAATTATTTCCAAAAATTTCTAGACAAACTAGACATCATTATTGAGAGGGTAATTTTTGGGAAAAATTGGGCCGAGCTGCGAGTTGGGCTTTGAGGCCCAAAACGCGAAGGACTAAGTAAAAAGGCCGTAAAGGATACTCCGGCCCAGGAGAGCAAGGTTACTCCGGCCTTAGGGGAGACAAAGTTACTCCGGCCCAAGGAGGTGAAATTA